TAGACTAGGAGAAAAAAAAGGAAAAAAGAGAGGCTTCAGGATGAAAGAGCAGAACCAGCTCCAAGTGTGCTCAGCATTCTGCTGTTCCCATTACTGCTTGTTAGGCAACATCTTGTCCAAGCTGGGACTATGGAAGCAAGGATCTCTCCTGCCTCACAGGTGTTAAAACTGAGTCCTGCAGCTGCTGGGAGATCCCTGGAGACACCCTGAATCCCAGGTAATAGCTGTAATCCCTATCCATCACCTTTCCTGTGGGAAACAGGCCTGGCCCTGGGGACTGGTCCTTGCCCTGAGTTATCAGCAGCATTCAGCTGGAAATGACCTCCCTGTGCTGTGGAAGAACATCCCAGGGTGGCTAAGGAGCAGTGGGCCTTGGGGAGAACACCAGGAACTGCACTGATTTTCCATTCACAATTCAGAAATGACCTCCCTGTGCTGTGGAAGAACATCCCAGGGTGGCTAAGGAGCAGTGGGCCTTGGGGAGAACACCAGGAACTGCACTGATTTTCCATTCACAATTCAGAGCTGAATTTCACAGAAAAAACCAAAATTCTCCTTGAGGTCCAACTCCCATTTCATATTTCAACAGGACAGCACAGCAAACTGCCAGTCCCAGGTAAGATCACAAGAAACTGAATGTGACATTTTTCAGCCTGACTTTTAAATCAGTCCAAAAACTGTTCCAGAGCATGGGGTGCTCAGAACTGCTAAAATATAGTAGGTTTGTTTTTTAGGGATGTCTTAAAGTGAATTCAGTTCACTGTGAGGCCCCAAATGAAGCAATGTGAATTACACTCACATCCATCAGGAAGTCCTGGTATGGTCTAAGTGGTTCTGGCCCTGGGCCTTTGGTTAACTCCTGCCTGTGCTTTATCAAGAAAAGGCCAAGGTTTTTTTCTTCCTTGGAGATTTTCAGCCTCAGGTCCAGGTTTGTGACATCATCCTTCCCCTTGAACAAGGATGTCAGGACAGTCATGGGTTTTGGAGACAGATTTTGGATGTTTTTACTGACTCTGGCAAATTCCTCTAAATTCCCATCAAGTGGTAGCCCTAAAAACACACAAAAAGTGCAAAGAAGTGTTAATAAGAAAGTAGGTGTTAGCACAGCATAAAAATAAAATCTGATTTCTGTGTAAACCCAAGTTTGATCTCAATTTGCCACAAATTCTGTCTGTATAAGATACAGCAGTAGGAAATCAAACTTCATTTCACTTTACCTATGTACTGGGCAATATCCAGCTCATACATAAGCTGAACCAAATGATTGACATGGTTTCCAAGAAGAATTTTTTTCAGTTCCACCCAAATCCTTTCTCCTGATATTCCAGCCAAGCCTTTGGCATTTTCTTTAATTGCTTGTAGTGTATTAGGTTCATGATCTCCAGGTTTCTCTGCAATTCTTCCATAAAATCTGTCAAACAAAACCCCTGGATGTTAGATTAGAAAACTACTCCACTAACAATCGTAAAATCATTTAGGTTGGAAAGGAAATATGACAACTACAACTCTTTTTACATCACTGGTATATTTTTGCACGTTTTTGAAACTTTATAAAGTTTATTTATCAAAGAAAAGCAAAACCTCTTACCTGAAGTACCTCAGGATTCTTAAATAATCTTCTTGTATTCTCTCAGCTGCCTTCCCCACAAATCTGATTTTCTTGTTTATCAAGTCTTCATAGCCATTAAAGAAATCATAGAGCGTCCCATCCAAACCTAGAAAACAATGAAAAAACAGAATATTGATGTACAAATGTGGCTGCCACAATGCACCACTCTCATTTGGAAATGAGAGGTTGTGTGGTTTGAGCTGGTCTGTCAGATCATCTCATGAATTTACACAGACCTTTGACACAGGGACAGAACTCAGTGGAAAACTCAAATTCACTGCTCCATCTACATAACATTTTTCCAAATTTACCTAAAAACATGGAGTTGACAGTGAGGTCCCTCCTCTCAGCATCCTTGTGCCAGTCAGTGGTGAACTCCACCTCTGCGTGCCGCCCGTCGGTGACGACATCTATTCGCAGAGTGGTGATTTCAAAATTCTGCTCGTGGAGCTGCAAATCCCACAGACACCGTTACTTTGGCACAGCCATGAAATCATGAAATAAAATAAATGAAATTAAATGCAAAAGCTGCTCATTTTTTCAGCCCTGTGTGCAGTGGGGACATATGCACAGTAATGTGTGCAGGGTTTTTGTACAGAGTTGAGAAATAGGAACTTCTGAAAATAATCTTGACATTATTTATTTTCTATAGAGCATGCAGAAATCTTCCTGCAGGAGATGGCCTAAGAGCAAGGCAGAGGAAACAGAACTGGAGAGGAAATCAGGAGCAGGAAACATTAGGATCATGTGTGGGCAGCCAACATTATTTTTCCTGATGATGACACAGCAGCATGAATGTGTTACATGCATTAAAATATGCATTCTACAATGAATAATCAAAAAAAAAAAATCACTCCACGCTTTCAAGCAGGATCTCATTTAAACTCTTACTGTGATACTTTAACAAATAAGGAGCAAATTTTCTACTGGACATCCACAGATAGGTAGAAAAGATCCAAACAAATCCCAAACAAACCCTGGCAGTGATGGTTCCGTGTTTTTCTCCTTTGTTATTGATCAGACGAACCCCAGCTGCTGTGAACATTTCCTTCATCTCTGCTGGAGTGGCTGTGGTGGCAAAATCGATGTCTTGTGGTGTCACTCCGCTCAGTAAATCCCTCACGGCCCCTCCTGCTATTCTCAGCTCGTAGTTCTTCTTCTCAAACAGTTCTGGGAAGGGAAGGAAAACCAAACAGTAACAAGCCCATGGCACAATCAGCCATAACCTGCCTTCTCACAAAATTAAGATCGTAGATGTAGGAATAAACACCCAAATATGCAGGAAGCAGCAAATAACTCACAGCTTCATGCAAAATGCACTAACTCGTGGCACAGCTGAGCACCCACAGGTATTTTCCTTGTTATTCTGATTTATTTTTCTGAGCTTTTTTTAAAACTTAACTATTGGCAGGTCTCTAATAGGTCCTGGGGACTCTGGGCTGGGGATCATTTTAAACAGTCAGGGGCTGACAAGGGAGAAAAATTCAGATTATTTACAGCAGAGAACAGTGAGCCATGAGCCCAGATTTCTCCAGGAACAAACGAGCGTCATGGAATCGGCCCACAAAGGGGGAAGCGAGCTCTGGCCTGTCCCTGGAGACTGGCTGAGGCTGTTCGGCCCGGAGGAGGCCCTGGGAGCAGAAAAAGGCTCTTTTTTACCAGGGCATGGAGTGACAGGGCCAAGGGGAACGCAGGAAGGGGGGGGAGGGCGGGTTTAGGAGTGAGGCTTCCCTGTGAGGGTGGTGAGGGACTGGGATGGGAATTCCAGAGCACCTGGGACAGTGGGAGGTGTCCCTGCCATGGATGCGGTGGCACCGGGTGGGATGTGAGGTTCCTCCAAGCCGAACCACCACGCTCAGGAACATTTTCGGAGCCACTCACCGGCCACGCTGCGCAGCCCCGGCGTGAAGAGCGCCTGGAACTGCGGCGCCTGCAGCCTCATGGTGCCTCCACCTCCTCCGTGCCGCCGCAGCAGCAGCCGCAGCCCGGCCCGGAGGGGCACGGCCAGGAGCTCAGCCCACATCCGCGGGCACGGCCCCGCTCCGCATCGGCGGCGCCGGGCGATGAGATCAGAGCAGCGCCGGGATCGGCGAGGAGGCGGCACCGCCCGCCCCGGGGCCGGGCTCGGTGAGGCGGCGGCACCACCGGGGAGCGGCACCGCCTCCGCTCCCTCAGCCCTCACGGGTGGCCCCTTCTCCTCCCCGCCTGCGCACAGCCCGGACGGACTCGTAAAAAAACTCACAGAATCATTTCCAAGCTTGGAAGAGACCTTCAGGATCATCGAGTCCAACCCAGCCCCAACACCTCAACTAAACCCTGGCAGGCAGTGCCACATCCAGGCTTTGTTAAACACACCCAGGGATGGTGACTCCGCCACCTCCCTGGGAAGAGCATTCCAGAACTTTATCACTCTTTCAGTAAAAAAAGAACTTTATCACTCTTTCTGTAAAAAGCGTTTTCCCTAATATCCAACTGTGAAAAATGCATATTTGTGATTGGCTTTTCGCAAATGTTATAATGAATATTCTATGTGTAATGTTAGAAAGTTATACTGTATTAATTCTCTTACGTATTGTGTTAAGTGTAGTTTTAGGTTACAACATAATGTTAAAATAGAGACTATGTATGTGGGGGGAGTTTTCTTTGTAGGAATGAGATATTCGCTTCCAAAGGAGAGGAATTTATGGTTTCTTATCAGAAGAAGCTAATTTCTTCAGGCCTTGCTCAGACTCAAAGACGCCAAAGGATTAAAGGAAACAATTCCCATACAACAGACAAAGTTTCTTGTTTTAAATAGAATGTATGCATAACCATGAAGGATATATGAATATGCAACAAGTGTATTGGTTTAAAGGTGATTCCTTTGTTCACAAGTCATGCTTCTTGTGACTTAGTGTCCGAGAGCATCCAGATGTCCGTAATTCTTTGCTTTTTATTGTCTTGTAATTGTCCTAACTCTAAACTTTATTACTCTAATTGTATTATTATTTTTATAACCATTTTATTATTATTAAACTTAAAAAATTTTAAAAACCAGGTGATTGGCGTTTTTCACACAACCTATATAGATAGGTAATATCCAACCTAATCCCCAATTCCCTTGGTGCAGCTCGAGGCTGATAAGTGGTCTGGGCACACTGGGGAGCGAGTTTATTCCTAATTCTTTCACAAAAATAGCAAACCTTCACAGAATCACTGGGCTGGAAGAGACCTTCAAGAGCATTGCGTCCAACCCAGCCCCGAAAGAGAGAAGAATGTCCCTGTGACACCCCCCTCCCTCAGTGGTTCCTCACAGGGTTTGTGTTCCCAGCCCCTCTCCAGCCTCGCTGCCTCCTCTGGATGAGCTCAAGCATCTCAGCGTCCTTCCCAAACTGAGGGACACAGCACTCAATACAAGACATAAAATATTTACTGTGGCTTTGTCTCGGTTTAGAGAAAAGAAATTACAACAGAAAAACAAGTTATAGCAGGGGGAAAAAATACATAGTTTGGTAATGGCAAAATAACTGGGATGGAACTGATGAGTTTCTTCTCCCTCCGATGGCAAGGAATTCTGTAGCAATTAAATGTTTGAATCATTGAAATCACAAAGTCATCATTTTGGAAAAGCCCTCTGAGATCATCAAGTCCAGCTGCTCCCCAGCACTGTTGTTAATGTTAAACCTATGTAGGTCTTTTTCTTATTAGTTAGAATATAATAATTTTACACCTTTTCTTTTACACTATTAGTTCAAAGAATATGTAGAAAAAGGCTTTGCATGGGCAGCCACCTTGTCTCTGATCTGGATTTGTATGGATGTTGTTATTTCCCTGTGTCTCTTGCTTTTTGCTTGTATGACACGGACAGATAATAAATCCTAAGTCTGCAACCAGTCAAGGTCCCATCCTGTTTCTGACACCTGAACACTTCCAGGGATAGGGGATCCACAGCTTCTCGGGGCAATGCAGAAGTTATCCAACCCCACAGACCTCAGCTCAATGCTCTCAGCACAATATTAGGAAGCTGGTTTTGCTCTGGTACTGGTGACTTCCTAAAAAGCTGCTGGTGTCTGCATGGCTGTATGGCCAGAGCTTTGGACAAAATGGCATTAAAAAAACTGGGCAAAACATGCACAGTTTTCCAGCAATGTCTGGGTTTGATTTTCTCGGGGATGAACACATGGGGATATCAACACTGTGGCTGTAGGTTATTTCTTTGCTGCCAGTCATCACATTCCTGCTCTTGAAAAGTCACCAGAGAACCCTCAGACCATTGTATATAATTATAATTAACACTAATAAATAAACCCATTTCTGTCTGTATGGAGCCTTCCACCATGTGGTTAAATCCACAGTTCCCTTTTTCAAGGCGTGCTTATCTCGCTTGTCCTCTGCCATCTCTTGTGAGGTACCAGTGCTGTCAGTACTTGGGAGGCAGCATTTATAAATACAACCCTCCAGGGAGAGCAGCCAGAGGACAGCAACCAACACCCCCAACCCTTCACAGGACTCTGAGATGCCCAGGTAACCTCCCAGGGTGTCTGAGCACTTTGCCTCTGCCTTCTGCTTGCTTTGAACACTGCGAAATCCTTCTTTTCCAAGTCAGTTTACACTGGGAAAAGCACCTGGAATCTGCTGCTTCTTCGTTGCTTGTTAGGTATTGGGACACATTAAGGGAGAAAATCATTACTCTTTACCCTCTGCTTATTATATAACCAAAACTTTATATATAATATTTGATTATATAATCAAAACTTTGTCCTGAAAACTTACCATATCCATTTTTGTGAGGAGCACAATCCTCCTGTAGCCTTCTAGTTACCATCTTTGCTTGCATACACTTATTTTGATTCTCTTTTCAGCAATTTCTCCCATGAAACAGGGTACAACAAACTGCAGTTTGTTCTCAGGGGTTGTGGTCTTACACAGCTGCAGAAATACAACTTCCAAAAGGTGTGCTTTCAATCCTAGTCTGGCAGCAAGAAAAAGATAAATAGCATTTTGGAAAACAAAGCAAGAAAAAATGAACTGCAAAGAACAGGATAATAATTTAGGACTCATCTGAATTACAGTAACATTTTATATCCAGTTCAGTTCATGTATTAGATCTTACATTTTCTGCTGCACAGAAAAATCCAATACATGCAAGCTTTTAGGCAGAAAAAAAAAAAATCTTTACGATCTTTTTGAAAGTATAGGGAAAAAAACCTCAGAATCCTCAAATTTTTGTTGTTAAAAAAAAATCCACAGGTAGCCAAATTCCCTTTAAATAAACCCAAGGGAGAATCAACTGTCGTAGCTATGATAACGCCTGAAACCAACACACCGACATCATTCAAGTAGATGTGAATGCTAAACACCTGCAAAATGTTAGGCTTTTAAAAGATTTTTTAAAAAAATAATGTACTGAAGTTATTGCGCTTTTTTTTAAGAAAAAAAAGACTGAATGCTCTCAGCAGTGAAACTACTGAAGCTTCTTTCCCAAAGTTGTTTTTGATTTTCAAGGATGCGAGGATAATGAATTTTTACTTCTAAACAGAGAGAAAAGTGATTAGAGTATTTACTAGTCCCATCAGGTAAATGAAAGGATGTTTCTTGAAGCAGCAAAGAAAGCCTGATGCCAGTGGTTTGTGCAGGCACAAATGTGTGCTGTAAAGAAGGTTTGTCCCATTGTCTGTGACTTGCTACAATTTGGGAGAACCAAAATGCCTGGCCAGGATGTCATTCCATAACCCAGCGTACACAAAATCAAACCCTGGCTCCCCAGGAATGATCCATTAGCAAACTCCCGAGTTTCAGCTGGCCTTGTGCACATTTGGGCTGTCAGGAAAGCAGAGAGGCACAAAATGTGAATATAGATAATGAGGGGACTTGGACATTAAAAACACACTCTACTGTAGATGATGTGTCATTTTAATGAACTCAGCACTCAGCCTGCATTTTGAAAAATAGTTACTGTACAGCAGAATTATTCCAGCTGTGATCAGTGGGAGTGCTTCCAGTCCCTGGGTTATTCCTGCTCATTACCATTGGAAAATATTATGTTTTCCATGTGAGCAATTGCTGTAGTGCCCCAGGGAGGAGCTGAGATTGGGCTGGGGGGGTGCATTTCTCTTCAAGAAGAACATTTTGGAGAGCTGCTGTTCTGAATGCCCATTTTTATATTAGGTTATACATGAATGATTACACTGAGATTTTTTTTTTTCTCCCAGTAATTCATGAAACAGTCCATAGGAAAATACAGGGTTTAAGCATTAAAAATTGTTGTTCATTGAAATAAGAAACAAACAAAGCAGTTTTTCTTACACCCAATAATTAACGGTGGAGAATTAGCCTTGAGGTGAGCAGTGACTGTGTCTTTAGAGAGCTTTATTGGAGGAGTAACTAGACAGTAAATCCCAGTAAGCAGCTATTTTATATAGAGTGGGAGCTGAAAATATGGTTATTTCTGTTCCTGGAGGACATGGGACTCTCCCCAAAGCCAGGCTACCTGAACCTGACTCACTTTCCATGGAGAAATGCTCTAATTCCACGGATGCCCTGCACATCCCCACATGAAGGTTTGAAAGCAGCAGCTTTTCAGAGAGGGCCTGCAAAGGGAGCCAGATGAAATGTGCTCAGTGGTACCTATATTAAATTTAGCTCCCACATGAAGCCTTTTCCTGCAAGAAAAGAAGAGTTTATTCCTGCAAGGCATCAGTTTCACTCCTTGGATCATGGGGATGGATCATGATCAGTGGTTTGGGTGTTTAACCCTTGGGCTTGTGTTCATTTTTAGCTCCTGTGAAGTGGTGCCAAGGCTGGTGTGCTGATGCCTGGCTGTGCCCATCCACCACCCAAAGATGAATGCCAGTGGGATGCCAGTTTTCCTGCTCCTCCTCTGGACAGCAAACACACCTCAGGGTGCAGGAGGTGAGGAGTTTCCAGCTGCCAAGGCAGACCTTGGGTGCCCAAGGTCCCTCTTTGTGCTGGGCACTGTTCTGCAGGTGGATAAAGCAGTCCCTGGTGTGCCATGGCCCAGGAGCAGGGGTGACCATTGCTGTCCTGCTTCCTGGGACTCTGCCCTGTCCCAGATTGTTCCCAGTTGGTGCCTGGTTTGCTGTGGGAGGAAAGAATCTCCAGTCATGGTGACACAACTTGTGTTGGGGTTTTCTGAGCCTTTATGGGGCAGTTTTCCTGCTGCAGTGTGAACTCCTGGGCATCAAAGGTTGGAATGAGAAGAGAAGTGGGGGCTGATCACGGAATCCCAGAATGGTTTGGGTTGGAAGGGACCTTAAAGTCCATCCAGTGGGCAGGGACACCTTCCACTGTCCCAACAGAGTCACATCCAACCTGGCAACCAACCCCTCCAGGGGTGCTGATGGCCCTCAGCTGCCTGGGTTTGGCAAATAAGGGAGAGCAGGCTCTGAAGAACTGGAGGGGAGCAGATTGATTATTTCACTGCCCTGCTATTTCTATGCTAACATTTCCCCCAGCATGAGATCCTCCTCATTTCCAAGAGAGCTCCAGGAATCCTTCTTGTCCTGTCATTTTAAATTATCCTTCCCATCTTTCTGTGTTTTCTTCCATTTGTGCTTAATTCCTCTGTTCATCATTTTGGTTCTACTCTCACATGCAACTTCTTGTGGCTGTCAACCTTCTCTTTGAAAACCCCCCACATTGCCCTCTCCAGCAAGCTGATGTGGGTGAGAATTGTTCATGCACTTGATCACTCCTTATGTGTCTCTTTGACAATGAGGACCAAGATGAAAACTCTGAACCTAATTAACAAGCCAAATGTAATATATCACAGTAATTTTCAAGTTGAAACTGTTTTAAAAGTTTCATTTTTCAAGCTAAGTTTTAATAAACTCTTATATGACGGGGTTTTGGTTATTTAAAGTGGTTTTTTTTTTTTTTTTTTTTGGTCAAATATTAGAAATATTTTACAAGGAGCTGTTGAGGATGAAATTATTTGCTTGTATTGCTCACTGCTTGCAAACAGGTATTGTTCTTAACAATTCACTGGATTGGACATGGATGGATATCTCTGTTTTCTCCTTTCCAGTTCAGGTTTTGCCACCTGTTAACTTCACCCTCACAGTCTCTGCATTAGCACAAGTGCTGTTACACTGGGAGCCAAACCCTGCTCAGGAGCAAAACAACTCCACCATTAGATACGATGTGAAAATCCTGAGCCCTGTGCCCGAAGAGGTAAGAGAAAAAAGAAATCAAGGATCCTAGGAAGGCTAAACCCCTGTTGTTCCCTTTGATCTACACCCATGCTTTGGGAACTGCAGAGATTCCCTCAGCCATCCTTACGGATACATCTCTGCTGGGATGAGCCATGGGAATTGCAGTTTTCCCTCGAGGGGAGGATGGATCCTGGCTTTAAGTGCTGGCTCCCCATTCAGCTCAGCTCACTGAACTCACCCCAGGGTCTGGCTCAGTCTTTGCAGGTCCCTGTCGCTGCTGAGGCAGGGACAGGAATGAACATGACTCCAAGATCAGAAGGCAAAGAATGAAACTTTTTTAACAACTAGCGTTCCTCTTTTATACCAGGATCACTGAGGTGAAATATGGTTGGTTTCAAAGTGAAAACTTTCTACACCACTGGTGCACTATGAATAGCACATGGTGGTAGAACATATCTATAAACAATATGAGCAGAAAGAGAGATAATAGATTGCTTACATTCCTCTCGGACTCTTTCCCAGGCTTAGCCTGGCAGAAATATCTCCTTTTTCTTTCTGACTGAACTGAGAATGATTTATTTAAAAAATATGGATATTGATCTAGTACCAATATCCAACTGTGACAGACAAAAACTCTCTAACAGTTTAAAGTTAGAAAGTGAATGTTTATCCAATGCCGGGCAGCGTGCGGGATAGCTCCCAAATACACACCGCACCTTCCAGGTGATTACAGAGTAGTTTTATCTATACAAGTATTGAATACACAAAATACAAATACATATTCATCATTTTGGTACATCCCATTCCCCGCTTTGTATGCTAATCACTCCAAAAGCCATTCAGCTTTTGTCCCTTGAAATGGGTCGGTGTCCCTTTCATGGGGAGGGGTCCCAAAATGAGGAAGTAAATGAAGTCTTCCTCCTTCTGACCTTTCTACCTTTTCAATGCAAATATGACAAATGAACTCTTGGTAGAACTCCCATTCCTTGTCTTCAGTTGGTTTCAGAGCAGAGGAGGCCACAATTGTCTTATGTTCCTAAAAGCAATTTGTCAGTTTGTGTATTCTTCATTATAAACCCAGCTAATTAAACACTGTGCTGACAAGCAATCAGTTATTAGTTAACTACTAACTCTTAACTTCATCAAGGCCTAGTCATTTATTATTATTATTTTAATTAACTCTAGTAAGGCTTATTTCTAACTAAAATCTTAGCTCCTCTAAAATCTCTAAATTCCTTAAACTTTACGTTTCAAGAATATCCACAGATCCCTTCTTTTGCCGCCCATCCCCTGTGGTTATTTGATATTTTCTGTTTCAAGTATGACACGGAGAGGACCCGGAGCGTGCGAACGGCGGCGCTGCACAACGGCTTCTGCGCCCGCGTGCGCACCCTGCTCCTCCAGGAGCACCTCCAGATGAGCAGCCCCTGGCTGGAGAGAAACCTCCCACCTCTGCCAGGTAACAAACCCAGGCAAGGGCTGCCTTTTGTGGCCTGCCCCAATCTGTGGGTGAAACATTCAAAGGAGACAGGTGTCGTTCTTTCAAATAAAAATACAGCATTTTCTGCTCTACCTGCTACAAAAGGATTTAGTCCAGGCCTTTCCCTACTGCAGTGGAGCCTGGAGTACAATCTGGAGGTGAAAAATGTCAATAACACCTATAAAATTTTCTAACAATGCCTTGCTAAGGCTGAGTTAAACTAGCGTGGTGCACCTGAGGGTATGGTTGCCTTGTTCCACATGAAATACACGGCGCTGTGTGGCACAGCTCTACTCACTCTGCTTGGGAATCTGCACTCTTCCCAAGCCACAGAGCTGTGGGATGAGGAGGGGAATTGGAATAAACAGATACAGCTATCATGGCCCAAACTGGAATCAAAAAGGGGGAGAACTGGATGAAACAGATACAGCTATAATGGCCCAAACTGGAATCAAAAAGAAGGAGAATTGGATGAAACAGACACAGCTATAATGGCCCAAATTGGAATCAAAAATTAAGATAATTGGATGCAACAGATGCAGCTATAATGGCCCAAACTGGAATCAAAAAGGAAGAAAATTAGATGCAACAGACATAGCTACAATGGCCCAAACTAGAATCAAAAATTGAAGAGAATTAAATGAAACAGACACAGCTATAATGGCCCAAACTGGAATAAAAAGGAAGAAAATTAGGTGCAACAGACACAGCTATAATGGCCCAAACTGGAATCAAAAATGAAAAGAATTGGATGAAACAGACACAGCTATAATGGCCCAAACTGGAATCAAAGTGTTTTAGCAACAGGAACTTGTTATGATTTTTGCAGGGAGGTTTTCTTTCTGCTCTGTAATTCCTTGCCTCCCCAGGTGCTCCAGAGACCTCTGTCACCAACTTGTCCTGCGTCACTCATGTCACCATCTCTGGCAATGTCTCTCTCCGCTGCACTTGGCTCCCTGGCCAAGGGGCTCCAGAAGACACCAAATATTTCCTGTTTTACAGGTTGGTGTTTGCTGCTTCTCCAGCCAGCAGTGAATTTCTTTAACTGCACCTTGTCTCACCAGCATTTTAATTTAGGTATGAGACACACACAGAGGAATGTCCCACTTACACCAAAGACAAGTGGGGCAGGAATACTGAGTGCAGATTTTCAAGTACTCAGATTAAACCCGGTGAGATTGACAGCCTCATTGTGATTCACATTAATGGCTCCAGCAAACGTGCTGCAATCAAGCCTTTTCAGCAGTTATTTAACCAAAATGCCATCGGTGAGTAGGAATGCATTTTAAAAAATATCAAAAATGTCTAGCAGGATTGCCAGAATGTGAGGAAGTTCTTTTGGATTGAGTGGTTCTTGATGCAGGTGAAAGGATGTGTTGATTTTGTACAATCATCTTTAGGGAATTGCAAGAAATAACTGGATTGTTTTAGCTAAATTTGATTTTAATCATCTATTTTAAATTACAAAATGGCAGAACTAAAAGCTAGCAAAGGCAATTAGTTCTTCTGTTTGTTAGCCAAAGCATTATTTCCAATATTAATTTTCAGTTGATTTATTCAATATACCTTAAAACACTGTTTTTATTACCCTTAATTTTGCAGCCTTTCTTTAAAAGGAATAAGACACGAGGTGTTCAAGTTAACCCTGTCCTGCAAAGGAAGGCATTAGAGTATGGAATAAAAGGGAGTATCAGCCATGATTGTCTATCATATTTCATCCACACAAATTATTTACATTCCTGCATTAGTTCCATCCCTATTTCTTTTTTGGCAAACAGATAACAGTTCTCTTTTTCATGACTTCACTAAGAGAAAAAATTACATATTTTCTTCTTAGAAATCATCCCCATAACAGCAGCTGAATTCCTTTGAATTTTTTCCATTTTCCAATAACTTTCCTGGCTACATCTTCATTTTCTTTTTCCTGGAAATGAAATTTTCTAACTATTCTGTCATTAATTTAATGCTTCTGTAAAAATTAATTTAATAAATTCCTCTTTCCCCAATAACCTAATTTTCCAAAACTTTTAAGTGGATTTTCCAAACTGTTTTCCTATAACTATTGCCAGCAATGTAGTTATTCCTCCTAAATCCTTATCTTTTCAGTCCAAAAAGGGAAATAAATTCAGTAATTTTAGGTCCTATAATAATTGGAAACACTATCAGGTTATAAAATGCTCCAGGTTTTAGTATTTAAACTTGTCTCTATAAATAACTTACCAGTATGGTTTTCTTTTTGCAGAGAAAGTGAATATTCCCAGAAATATCAGTATATCCCTGGAGCAAAATGATCTCCTGGCCATGTGGGAGAAGCCAATTTCTCCTTTCCATGAGGAATGTTTTGAATATGAATTTTATCTCATCAACCTGAAGTCAGGTAACAAGCAGGTAATTGCTCCTCTATCTAACATCCCTGTCCTCTACAGCTGGAATTTGCCTTCCTCTTTTCCTCAATGCCTTTTAAATCTGCAATAAACCATCCCCAAGGAACTTGGGAAAGCAGGACAAAATTTGATTTATTCAGCTTATGCATCTGGGTTCAGAACAGCTTTTACCATCTTGAAAATGCTGCATTGAGAATCTGGAGGAAGGATGGAGAAATGAGGCATTTCCCCAGGAATTTTCCCTGGAATATTGGTGTGTTAGGAGGAGTTACACTTATAAAAATGGTGCTCTTACCTCCAAAGCAAGGCCAGCAGCTCGCAGTTGATAAAAACACAGTTTAAATTTGTTTTCTGAATGGCTGAGTCAGTCTCTGACAGCACGGATTGTTTTCCTGACAGATCCTGAAGATCTCCTCCAACAGTTTCCAGCTGCGGATCGATGGCAGCAGCAGATATTCCATCAGGATCAGGGCCAACCACAACCACATCTGCCGTGCCAGAGGCTTCTGGAGCGACTGGAGTGAAATCATTTATGTTGGTGAGAATTCCCAATATTCCACTGCTGGGGAGCCAAGGCTGCCTAACCAGGAGCGTGTGCAACACCCCTGAATTCACCCCAGAAACGGGGATTTGAAGGAAAAATCTGACTTGTTAATGCCAAGGGGATTTTAATCCATTCCTTTAAAAATAAACTTTGCAAGAGGATTGGTTTTAGGCAATGCTTTGTGAATATTTCCAGAGATTGCTTTAAACTCAAGGCCTTTTCTTGCATCACTGCAGTTTTTTTCAGGTGTTTTCCTGCCCTCATTGTGATGTTCATGCTAGAAATAAATATGAGAAACCACATCAACCATTGATTCACTGAAATTATCTCACTTCTTCAATGCTGAGGGAAAAAAAAGAGCATTCTTTTAGCATTTTTTAGCATCTTTTAGCATCCCCATTGCTGGGGAGCAAATGCTGCCTAATCAGGAGCGTGCCCAACATCACAAAATTCTAATAGGAAACAGGAAAACAGGGATTTGAATTTAATTTACTGAAAATATCTCACCCCTTAAATGCTGGGAGAAAAAAAAAAAAAAGATTTTAGCATCTTTGAAGCCTGATCATTTGCCCCACACTGTTTTGCATCATCTGCTTGCTGACTAAGTTGCTCTGGAAATAACAGTTCCTTTATCACTGCACGTTATCAACTGTTTGTTCTTAGACATCCTCCTTTGCTCTTATCTTTGGAGTTTCTCAACTTCCTTGTTTTCACTTAAAAAATGCTCTGTTACATTCCTGTTTACTACATTTCCCCTCCTGTATCATGAATTCACATTTTCAGTGTTTTGCCTCCTTTCTCCAAGACATCCCCTTGACCTCCCCACCTGGCTCACACAGCAAATGTGGAAAATCCACTCTGATGCCAAAACAAAACTGGTCTTCCCTAAAAATTTATTTAAATCTCAACAATATCCAAGGACAGAACCACTTAATCCAGTTTTTCTCATGGAAAGGAGTTTTTAGAGGCAGTTCATTGGCACAATACAGGTTTGTGCCACTTTCTCAGCTTTATTCAAAAGGAGTTCTCTCCTTTATTTCAAAATAAAATAAAATTATTATTGAAATCAGAAATTCAGTGCCATGGAAGCTCTTCTGGAAGCTCTTAATTTAATTTCTTATTCTATGTACCAAGTTTTCGAAATCTGCATGTTAATTTGTGATCTGAATACAACCACATTAAACAGTTAATGAAATATTTGCAGTATTTAAATTATAAACACATTTCAAATAATCTGTACTAAAAGAATACATTTAATTTCTTTTTTTTTTTCCCTTGAAATTTAGGGCAAAATAAACTGGACAATTCCATAGCCTGGATTGTCACTCTGCTCTGTGTGTCCACGTCCTGCACATTGCTGCTTGTTGCTATAATATGCCAAATGTAAGTATTAGCTTTTTTTTTATTACAATATAACCAAGGAGCAGGTATTCAACAAGTGTGGGGGGATGTCACAAGCTTTGCTTAATTCTGAGCAAAAACTAAGTTTGCCTAAATGCACAAAGCAAAAATAATCAGCCTCATTAATTATCAGCAATAACATTCAGCAAAATTGGTGGGCTAAGAGAGTTATTCAATTTAACCTTATACAACAAACCCATATATTGAGTGAGGTGAATTTGTTAAAATTTGTTAAAATCTGTTTGTCCTTATCTCATTTCTTCACTTAAATGTACCTGATTTGGTCAGTAATTTCCCCAGGAATCTTCATTTATCCCTGGTGAAAGCTGCTCAGGGCATCAAAAATCCCAGACCCCTGGGGTTTGCTTTGACTATTTGAAATACTGAATTTATTTTTAATTGTACAGAGGCTCTGGATGCTATACAGTAAAAGCCAAAACTCCCCAAATGTGCAGTGAGGAAGCCCAGCTACACTTTGGATTTGTGTCTGTGACAGTCAAATCATAAGTGATGGATTAAAGGCTCCATGTAATTAGAAATTTCTCCCTGAAACATGCAGCAAGCAGCAATTACCAGTCCACAATAAACACAGCTCCCCTTAATGGAAGTGCTAATTCCTTATTAATTTCTGTAGTGCCTTTTTATTTATTGATCATCCTGATGCATTCCTGGCTGTTTTCCTCTCCGTGCTGTGTTTCCTTTATCCAATTTATCCAATAAAGGTGTTGTGTACAGGGATGCCCCAAGAGGAAAAGTGAGATTAACTCTGCCTGGGGAACCTGTTCTCAGGGCAGCTGAATGAACACAGAAACTCTCTGAACACAGAACTCTGCTCAGAAAAGTTCTGGCAGAAACAGCCCAGGGAGTTTCTCCCTGTGTCACACACTTGTCCTCAGCTATGCAGCCTTGATGTCTTGCTGAAAATCCCCAAGTTTGTCTTACTGACATGATTCTGTTATGGATTGACATTTGAATGTTACATTTACCCTCTTTGGAGCTCCTGGAACACACACAGGGGGAGAAATAAATCCAGGGTACAATTCTACTCAGCTTGTACTAATGCATTGTATGATTTTAATCCAAATTTCAGGGAGCTTTTCCAGGCTCAGCTGCTCGCTGCTACCCTGGTTGCTCCCAGGAGTTTCTCTCCAGTATAAAATCCCCCAACACCCAAAGGTTTATTACTTTTTCTCTTTGCCAACATGATGAAATTTTTACCTCCCTGCTACTCTGAATTTCACAGAGCTGCTCACCTTATTCCACCCTTCCCTGCTGCTCCTTGCTCCTTCTCCTTCTCTAATCCCCAGCCTGCCCTGGGAGGATGGGGAAGTGCAGGAAGATGAAACACAGGATTGTACCTGCAGATATTAAAAAAAGAAAAATCGAGCAGGTTTCCTAGATCACAGTTTCATTAGTACTCTCTGTTTTTACTGCTCTTGAAAATTCATGAAGTGCACTCTGCGATTCAAGCCACGGAATCGTTTCAAATTTCATGTGATTTGCAGCCATTATAAGGAATTTCATTGCAGCAAAGTGGTCTATAAAATTTTCTCTGTACTTGCAGGCATCAGGGTTAAAGCCCAGCGTTTGGGAGGAGTGCTGCAAGGCAAAGGGGCCCTCTGGGAGTGTTTGGGCAGGCTTTTCCCTTCTCTCACTTGCAGAGGCTGATGGGGTTAGAGTCTTGATAAAAACCACAATTGAATCTTCTCCTGGTTTGCTCTCTGCCTTTAGGAGTGAGCAGCTTCTGTACTTCCCTAGGAATAACATTTTCTCCTGGAGGTGAGCCCCCAGGAGGATGGAGTCAGTGCCCTCCACACCCCAAAATCAGTGTGGTCATCCCCCTCTTCTGCACCCCTCAGCAGCCCATCAGCAGCAGTCACCAGCCAGCTTTGAAAAACTCCACAGGGAATCTCAGGGGAGGCACTCTGATACAGAGTTAACACAAATATTTCCTCAATCTCATCACAGAGCAAGGAGAGCTTGTTCTCCTGCTTGTTTCTCTTTGTTTATCCCCAGGCTTTTCATGTCACAGCCTGTGGGAAGAGTGGGAATTTCAGAAAGGCAGACACAGCACAAAGCCTGGAGACCCTGAAATGCTGATTTAAGGCACAAGGGTCCTGTGGGGTGTGTCCAAGGCCTGAAGGTCCAAGCAGTGACAATGGAAAAAGGCTGTGCCTTAGCCTGTGCAGATACCTGGGATGCTTTTTGTGACAAGACCTTTAATCACATAACTCTGACTTTTCAGTAACCTCCAAAAAAGAACAGAACCATTCTGAGGGCACCACCCCAGCAACTCCTCCCTGCAAAGATCTGAGGGGCAAGACAGCCCCCATGGACACACTTCTGCCTCATTTCTTGTGGGCATTTGTGCACCTTCCTTAAGTGCTCCCCTTCCAGAAGTGACATGTAATTTATGCTTTTTCTGCCTTAATAAATAATTTTGATGTGGCTCCATCGAAATCTTTTCTTGGCCAACAGCACGATGAGGAACACACCAATCCCAAACAGAACCAGCTCTTGCTGGGTACTCTGCCCAGCAGTGGCATAAATCAGAGCTGAGATTCCAGATGGAATGCTGTGGCCTTTTGAGAAGTTTGTGAGAGTGGGTGAGGTGTAGCAGCTGTGAAGTCAACAGTGCAAAGCTGCCCTGGGTAAGGGCACAGAGGCCTGACCCTTTGGAGGGGAGCTGGGAAGAGTGGAGGTGATGGAGGTGACACCACGTGCTGCAAAAACAATATTGGCACTCATCCTGCCCCATTCCTGAGCTCCAGCAGCAGCCACTTTCCTGTCTCGGGGAAAAACAGCTTGGCTGTTCCTTTGCACCCAGCAGTGGCTCTGCTGTGTCCAGAATTTCAACAAAAAAATGTTGAATTTTTTTGTTTCCCCCAAATGTTTCCCCCAAAACACCTCACACCCTGTTTTTCCTCCCCATATTCCCATTTGTGGCTGTACAATTCCCTCCCAAAGCCTCCTCCCGTGCAGCAGAGGGGAGGCATCCCACAGCTCGTGTCTGTGGGGCCCTTCCCTTCACCTGATCATTAATGAAGCATCAATGTCACCTTCAAGGCAGCAGCAGCTCAGCCAGGAAGGTTTAGCTCCAAGCTGACAGACAGAAAATATTATTCCTCCTCACCAGGAGAATAGTAATAGGATAAAGGTAAACCTGACAGAACTCAGAAAGCTTCTGGAAAAAGAATAGTCCTAAGAACATAAGCACTGAACTAAGCAGACATCAGCCAGGGGGATGGTCACAAAATAAAGGGGGCAGAGGAACAGATCTGCCCTTGGTGCCTGAACATATCTCCTCCAGAACAGAGCCTGGATACCAATTCTGGCTGAGCAGTCCTCACTCAGGCCAAGTTCCCATTAAAACCTGTCCCTTTTGGATGTGGGGCTATCCAGGGCTGGAGGCAGCGAGGTGTTTCAGCACCTGGAATGTGAGATCTGGGCTCTGGCATGTATCACAGACAAAGAAAAGTTCCCTCTGCTGTCAGAAAAGCCCTGTGCTGTGAGCCCAGCCAGGGCAGGGGGGGTCAGCAGGGAAGGAGGTCTCAGAGGTGTGACAGGATGAGTTAGCACAGCTCTGAGCAGAACCATTTGCTGTTGGCTGTCCCTGGTGCCTTCCCCTGCCCCATCCTGGCTCCCTGGGCACACAATTATTTGTGGCTGCTCTCCTGCCACGAGGCACTGGCACTTTCTGTCCAGAAACCAAAGCCTGAGCATGAGGCAGCTTGTCTTGGCTGTCCAAACCAGGTACCTGACAGCAGAGCCCTTGGGAGGAGCAGCAGCATGAACAGAGAGATCAGAGCAGTTCATTTCTCTCCAGACAGCCCCAAAACCCCTGGCACTGGATGGGAATGGCTGCAGAGGGAGAGGGAGAGGCTGGGGACAGCCTCAGCCACCTCCTCCTGTCACCTGTCTGTCCCCAGGGCCCAGAGGTGTCCTGTGAGGAGTGGCACAGCTGCCAAGCCCCAGGGGGGACCATTATCTTTTGAAACTGCTAAGAATTTTAAACTTTCTGTGCTAACAAACATTAATCTTAAAAAAAAAAATCACTACATTTAACCTGAAACCATAGAGAAAATTTCCAAAATTAAATAATAAACTGTTGCCCTGATTCTAAAGATTTTCTAAAGCCTTCTGAGTTTACATTCTTGTAGAGAACTTTCTCACATAACTTTCTGTAAACAATCTATTGTTTTGCATTCCTCCATAGAGGCAGAGAAATTTGACGTACTAATAGTTTGTCCAATGTCATTGGAGAGGTGGCACGTTCACCCTCCAAACCACTGTCACCTTTGGAAAAGTATAAATGTTAAAGTCAAAAAATAAACTTCCTCTTTTTCACCTTTGCAATAGCAGCGGCTCACGTCGTGCTTTCACGCGTCCTGTAGTGACAATAAACCTAAAATTATAAAGTATATAATTTAAATAAAAGTGTATAATATCACATAAGAAAAAACTTAAAGTTTAACTTAAGAGTTCCAACAATTATCCCTGACTGGAAGTGCTGCAGGCAGAGCTGGCTGCTCCTGGGGCTGAGCACGTGCTGCTGCTTGGGCCCCTCATCCCCCAGGAACAGCAACTCTTCCCATCCCTCCCCTATTGTTTCTTACAGAAACCACGTTTGGAGTAAACTGTTCCCACCGATCCCAGCACCCAGCAACAAATTCCGAGACCCTTTCCCAATTGACTATGAGGTAAAATAACTTTTTTTTTTTTTTTAATTGTAATTAAATTAAAATGAATGCTTTTGTTTTTGTGCTGCTTTTCCCCTGTAAGGCTGGGAGCAAAGAGGGTCATAAAATCATTAAATCTCAAAAAGATCTCCAAGACCATTAAGTCTCTCCCCAGCCTCCCTGTGCAGGAAATGCAACCTCCTGTGCAGGAAATGCAGCCTCTCCCCAGCCTCCTGTGCAGGAAATGCAGCATCTCCCCAGCCCCCCCTGTGCAGGAAATGCAGCCTCTCCCCAGCCTCCCTGTGCAGGAAATGCAGCCTCTCCCCAGCCTCCTGTGCAGGAAATGCAGCCTCTCCCCAGCCTCCCTCTGCAGGAAATGCAGCCTCTCCCCAGCCTCCCTGTGCAGGAAATGCAGCCTCTCTGTGCAGGAAATGCTGCCTCTCCCCAGCCTGACTGAGCTGCAGGAAATGCAGCCTCTCCCCAGCCCCCTGTGCAGGAAATGCAGCCTCTCCCCAGCCGCAGCAGCTGCAGGAGGCTCCTGCAGAGCTGCTTTGGCTCAGCCTCACAATCGAGAGCGTTCTGCTCTGCAGTGGAGCTGGGCTCAGGCCTTTCTGCGCGGGCTGTTTGTTCTGAGAATTGCGTTTGTCTCACAGAGATAAACCCTCCCTGTCTGCTCGGGCAGGGCTGCTCAGCACCTTGATTTGCATTTGCCCCTTGGAGCAGGGATTGGGTTTGTTCCATGTTGTTCTTACCCCATGGTCTGGTCAAGGAAACAGGCGTAGGAGATTATCCTATAACGTTTGTTTTTAATGGAGTGTTTGAAATCCCACGACTTGGACATCCCAGCAGGGACCAGGAGAAGCAGCAGATGCCAACGCTCAGCTGGACAGGCGAGCTGGCCGAGGCAGTTCCTGCTCTCTGCACCAGCCCTGCCTTGGTTTCAGCCTCCTCGCTCCACGTGCGCTGGGGGACACCAGCCAGAGGCTCCTGCTGCCACCACGGCCACGAGGCTGGTGGCACTGGCAGGGAGCGGTGAGGACATGACCCAGGTCCCTGCTGAGGCCACCAGGCAGAGGGAAGTTGTTTGATCAGACACTCGGTTCCTAAACTTGGTGCAAACGGGGCTGAGGTGACGAAAGCCCGGCCGGTGGTGGCCCTGGGAACCTGCTGGTCCATCACCTGCCACCCTGCAGGGCTTCCCATCAGCTCAGCCACGGCTGCTGCTCCCTCCTGCAGCGCTGCAGCCCTGCACACCTCTTGGTGCAGCTCTGCCAGGGTGAGCCCCAGCCATGGCTTCGTGCCCTGGATTCAGAACGGTTCCTGTGCCTCCCCGGGGCACTGCTGGAGTCACCATCCCTGAAGGGCTCCAAAACCACTTGGGTTTGGGATGTGGCCCTTTGGGATGGGATTTAGTGGGTGAGGTGGGATCTGACTGTAGGTTGGACTTGATGATCCTGGGAGATCTTTTCCAGCCTTGCTGATTTCATGATTCTGTGCCCTCCAGCTCCTCCTGGGCTCCGTGTCCTTTGCTACAGAGGGGTGGCAACTGCGGGAGAATTTGGGAAATGGGGAGTTTGGGGGTGCAGTGCTGGAGGGACAGAGGATGAGCAGCTCTGTGAGAGCTTCAGCCAGAGTGTGAAAGTCCTCCTGTTGAACCCAATGCTTCTGAGCTCCTCAACCATGAAACATTTTGGGTTAATCCCTCTCTAAACACACCAATTTGAACCCTTAGCTCTCCCCCAGCCCAAGCCACCCCCCAGCTCCCAGCTCCAAGGGGTGTTTGCTTTGCAGAGAGCACGGACCTGCCCCAGCTCCACGGAGACCGAGGTGTGCAGCCTGGCTGAAGTTCTCTCCTGCAGCGTCCTCGATGACTCCGTGTTCTGAGAGGCTCCACAACGTCACCCACCAACGCTGACGAGGCTCTGTGCCACCTCTCTGTGTCCCTCTTCCCAGTGGGGACGAGAGTTTGCCTCCACCAGGTGCCTTGTTACCAAACAGAAAGTTCCAGCTCAAGCAAGGATTGAAGTTCATGGCATAAGGGCTGTGTAGGGGAAAAAAAAAAAAAAAAAGCTTGGAAAAGAGCTAATGGATTCATTTTTTGTTGTTAGCACCTTTATCTTTTGAATGTTTGTTTTACCTTGCTCTGACAACTGGAGATGCAAACTGGGTTTGGCACGGCCCTGTGGATGCAGCAAGGTGGTCCTGACAGTGACCAAGAGGGGTCAAGCACTGGGAAGAGAAGAAAAATGTTGTGAAGCACCCAGGGCTGCCACCCCCAGTGCTGCCACCCCCAGTGCTGCACAGCAAGGCCACCATGAGAGCAGGGACACTCACCTGGCCTTTGCAATGAAAATGTGAATTTCCACCTGAAAAACATCCATGGAAATGCAATTGCTGGGTCAGGGCAGGTGTGCCTGTGCAGCCAGACCACACTGTGTGGGGACAGGGCATGGCCAGTGTCCCCTGCACTGCCCAAAGGCACCCAACCTTGCCTTGCAGGTGACAGCACCATTTTGGGATGGAGGGGAACAGCTCAGCCACCCAGAGCATGGTGCTGATCACACCAAGGGTGTGGTTTGATCCCTGTAGGGACCACTGGACTCAATCCTTGTGGGATCTGTCCCACTCAGAATATTCTGATTCTCTGATCTCCTCAGGACTTTATAAAACACCAAAAACTTCCAGGTTTTTTAGATTATTTAATATTATTTAAAACAAAAGTTCATTTGCTTATGCACCTGATGTACAGTTAGAGCCTGACTACTTCATGGCCCATGAAGTCCTCCTGGTCTTGCTTCTTCCTTCTAATTCCAAGAAACCTCCTGTCCATGGAGCTGGATTAAACATGCTAACAAAGAATAAAAATACAGATTTGATCCAGCCAATAATTTCTTTGGAAGGTGCCTAAAGAAATGGAGTTCCCAGGTACTACAGACTAAAAATAATTATAATAAATGAGCCAGTCTCATCTGGGTGAAGCAGCATTTTTCCATCAAAAATAATGTAGGTCATTAATATAACGTTGGTGTCTCCAATGTCTCTCCTGCATGTGCTTTTAATGGATTTGAGGGGCCCAACTTTAACACTCTAAAATCAGAAATTCATGGGTAAAATCCTAAAAATGAGACTACAGAAAATTCACTTATTGGAATGTATTGTTTATCATGCCCTCAAGTGGCCTAACAAATAAAATTTCTGCATATAATTCCATTCCCATTAATAGCAAGCTAATGCAGAGATGAATGCAATATATTTAAATATATTTTGCATGTCAGGCCCTTGGTATTTCCAGGATGAGTCTTCTTGGGGACAGGCAGGGCTGGATGGCTTGGAGAGCCAGCAACCACACTTCTACTCACACTGGTAAATAAATCCAACCTGGTGTAAAGGAGGAGTAGCTGCATTTCCCCAGCCAGGCTGCAGGTGCAGCCAGCTCACCTTTAGTGCAGGGATCTCACTTCTTCATTTCTTCTTCTCACTTCTTCAGTGGTGGGATCTCACGCCCTGAAAAGCCAAGGGAGCGGGATGAAGACAATTCCTGCCTGAGCTCCTCCTCATGGTTCATGATCCCTGGAGGAAAATCTTCATTCCAGGCAGCACGAGGGAAAAAGGAATTTTTCCAGGATCTCTGGCCACACCACAGCAGATCTCCAGCCCCAAACCCTCACAGCAGAGAATTATTCAATCTTCATTTCCATCCCTTCAAACCCAGCTCCCAGTCCCCTCCTTGCTCCTGCCCTGTTGCCTCCAGGACAGGGGCCCCAGGCGCTGCTCCTCTGGAAATGGCAGTTTGATTTTTCTTTTTAAAACCAGAATTGTGTAACAGGGCCCGTTTATTTTCCTGCTTCATTGTGAGGTGTCCCTGCAAGGAGAGAGCCTCACCAAGCACACAGCAAACCCCACAGCTGCTCTCTGGCACAGCTGGTTATTTAAATCTATTGCTGAAGGCACTGCCAGGTGTCATTTATGTCACCACAAACTGCAAGGGTGCAGGTTTATATACTGGTACAAGGGGCGGAGCTAACAGCAACAACCAATCACCTGATGGCATGGGTGGGAAAAGGACTAGAGTGACCAATAAGGAAACAGAAAGATAAACAGACAAGGGTATGGACCAATGAGGGCACAAAGAACAAAGAAATTGCTAGAACCATGACCATATATGGTTAAGAAGTTGTTGGACAGCCAATGGTCAAACAGGGGCGGGGCTCTGAGGTTGATTGACAGCATGTTAATAATGGGATAGGTTAAAGTCCCCTAGCAGGCTCACAGGTCTCCTCAGAAACGCGGAATCGCTCTGCTGGAATGCAGACAGCACCACGCAACTCCCACCCCTGAAAGCACTCAAAATGTGGCTGCTGTGCATTCGGTGGATCCCAGCCATGTTCCCAAAATCCTCAGGAATCCCCAGGACAGGCAGAGGCAGTGCCTGGAAGGGCTTTGCTCCAGCCACAGCGTCAGAGATGCTCCACCAGCACCATCCCCATGAGCTTGGACAGCTCACAGCTCGACAGAACAAACCCAAAATTCACCTGCTCATGTTTGTTGGTCAGTTTTGAGAGCAGAGGTGTACAGAGGTATATAAATAAGTTTATAAACCAGAGGTGTATAAATAGATTTTTTTTTCCTGCCTTCACCAAGTTTTGATTTAAACCAACTCTTGTATCTTCACATCAGTGAAAGTCTCAGCAGGCTCTGAGGGGAAATTTCTCACTGGGCAGAACAAAAAGTGGAGGAAAAAGGCTCCTGGAAGACAGGTATCTTTACAAATGACAGAATATTTATTACCAATACCTTTAAAAAAAGATTACATCTGCTAGATCACTGATAAATATCATTTACACCAGGGAGAAAACTACAGAAGCTTTTTTTTATTTCATTTTTCTTGGTTTTGTGGATTTTTTTTTTAAGGTTTTTCTTATTTTATTTTTTTTTTTACATAGAAGTAACCATATCAAACTAAGAAAGGAACACAGCTTGAAATACTGACAATATTTCTCTGGTCAACAACCCTGACTTTTACACAAGTGGAATCCTGATTATGAGTTACTGAATAAATATATTTAGAAGGTTTAAAAGTTAACTGTATTATTTTGTAAGCAAAAGAGACAAGTTACAGGCAAATTCAAGCTATCAGGAGGAAAAAAAAAAAATACCACTGCAGCGCATTGAAAGTTGAAAATTGTATAGAAAATTCCATTGCCTTTTCCAGCGTTATCCCATCTGAACTTACAAAATTCCCCGTAGTAACAAACAGTCCTTCTCTTGAGAAGAATTATTCCAGTGTGGATATTGTAGTTTTCTGGTGTGATTCTGTTCTGCCTCCAGGCGTCTGGGAAGAGTTTCTAAGGAAAGGCAAACTTCCAGCGGGGATCTCTGGGAGATTCCCACTTTTCCATGGATAACCCAGAGCTGGGGCAGCACCGCTCCCATCCCGGGCCGGATTCCCAAGCGTTGTCTGGAGGGTGGAGTTACCAAGGATGTGTCCCAAAGAACGAGCCCAGAGCAGCTTTCTGATTTCCTTGGAATTAATCCCCGAACATGAGGAATTTCCTTGGAATTAGATCTCCAAAGGGTTGAGCTGGGTGTGCACCCAACGCGAGACCGGTGGCCGTCCCGTTGTGGCACCACAGGCAGAGGTCACAGCTCTGCAGGATCTTCATCTCCCCACCCAATTTGATGCTAATTATGATCAAGGCAAAGCAATTTCACAGCCCCTCCTCGCTGCACGATGCCGGAATCTTGGCTACATGTCCTGTAGTCCACAACCAACCAAAAAGCACATGGTTTTTCCCAAATTCTGCTCTTCGGAGTGTTTTGAGTTTGTCCTGCTCAGAGCTCTGGATGAAATGTGTGTTAGAAGCACTGGGTTCAGCACAGGAGTCGCTGGAACTGCCAGTGAATCTCAGCCTGTTACAATCCGGGTCTGGATCAGTTCTGCCCTGTAAAACTGTACAGTCAACTCCAGCCAATTTGCCAGGAACAACTTGGAGCTCTCCGTCGTAAAGGAAAAAATCCCAAACAATATTTTCGTGATAATGTCGTCCGTAGCATTTTGTAGCAGAGGAAAAAAATTAATATCTACATCATATGTTAACTTTAAAAAATTCTATAAAACACTAAATATATAATAAAAAATATGCATATAAGGACATATGTAAACTGCTTTGGTAACATCATATTACAGATGTTTTCAGTGCATTGCAGAGTTTCCAAGGAAACTTCAGACAAAGCTATATTTGCTTTGAGGAAGTACTGTATAATGCCATTCCTAAAGAAGCATAAACATTTTTTTTTTTCCAGTAGTAAGATGTACTCAAACCACAATATTACTTAGTACTGGGTGTCTCCAAAACAACTAGCTAAATGTTGCTTATATTATAAAGAAGAAGTCCTCGATGTCATTGTTGTCATAAACTGGAGCGGGCTGTGAGGGAGATCATGATTGTGCTGAGGGCTGACAAGGTGCAGGCGCTGGAGGTTGACGAGCCCGAGCCTCTGGCGTAGGCATCTGAGGGGAAAGGGCAAAAAGGAGCCAGAGGTGAGCAGAGAACAATCCCTGAACTCTCCCTTAACCCACCTCACCCAAGGTTTACATTCCCTTTCCTGGGATAAAGCACAGCCCCTTCCTCCTCTTCACAGTCACCTCTCTAACTCAATTTTTCATTTCATTTCAATTCCTGCCCCTGTTGTGTTGAGGCTTCTCTCACAGTTCTACTATTTCACACGCTGCCTGCTTATCATTATTTGGTATTTTTTTCACAATTGCACCATATTCCAGCTGTTCCTTGTGCCTCCCATCCTGGAGGAGCCATGTACCTGCTCTGTGACCTCTGGCCTGGAGCCAAATGGGAGCTGGCATGTCACAGTTCCCCTTCCCTCTCCTGTGCTGCTGATTAAATTCCTCTGCATGGTTTACACAGCCACGCTGGGGAGAGCTCTGCTCTCACCCAGGGTTTTTTTACATGGCTGTGATTTTAATGCCATATTCCTGCATTGCAGAGGCTCCTGATTTAATGCAGCTTATAAACCGGGACATTATTAATGCAAGATGGGACACGGAGATTTTGCAAAAGCCATGTTGTGTAATAAAATACTCTTTGTGTTTGTTCTTCTACACCACCTCACTTCCCTAAATAAATATTTATGCACCCAGCACACAACAGGATATGGCTGTGCAGTAACCTTATAGATTTAGAATTCTCTGCATCCTGTATTTGGTTATAGTGAATTGCAGTGAAACAATCCATTTAATGCATGGAACAGAGAGGAAAAAGCATCTGGAAACCTTAAATACAAATAGAACTACTTAGGGTGGTGTTTCTTATGGCTGGATCTTGCTTTTGGGATGAAATCAGAATTAGGGACTGGACTATCTGTGGTGGGCCCCTGTGGCACAGAGCCCAGTCCCTCCCATCCTTACTGGATATCTTTGGGATTCGGATTTGCTCGCTGCTGCTGCCGTCGCCGCCGTCGCTGAAGGGTTTGATCTCGATGATGTAATCCTCATCAAAGGGCAGGGACAGCTCCACTGAGGTTTTATTTGTTTCTATGACAGACGTGCTGCTCTCCCTGTTCCACCTGTACAAAACCTGTGGCCAAGGGATATGGATATTCTCAGTTCAGTCAGAGAGAAAAGGAGAGAGACTTCTACCAGGCTAAGCCTGGGAAAAAGTCTGAGAGGAATGTAAACTATCTATTATCTCTCTGTTCACATTGTTTATAGAAATGTTCTACCACCATGTGCTATTCACAGTGCACCAATGGTGAGAAATGTTTTTACTTAAAGACCAATGAAAGAGAGATGTACTTGTTAATAAATGGTTCATTCTTTGCCTTCTGAACATGGAATCATTTTATTCCCATCCTGTCTCAACAGTGACAAAGAGAGAGAGAACAGGAGGCAGAGGCAGAGCTGCCTGTTGTGCTCAGAGCTGTCCACCTCAGGGCGTCCAGAGGTGCTGCTGCTCTTTTCCTGCCCCTGATGCTCAGGCATGATCTGGGGACACAGGGGACATGTGGGATTTGTTGGGGACACCAGCACAGAGATGGCAGTGCCCGGGCAGGGAGTGGCACTGGCAGGAGGATGATGCTGATCAGCAGCACTCAGCACAGCACCGGTACCTAATGGAGCCCCTCAGAGAAACCCTTGCCTTGGTCAAGCTAAAATAAACCCCTATAGAAGTAAAAACTTCTTGATAGAGGTCAGAAACTCCTTATTATGCTGCTTCTGGAAAGTGAGTTGGGATATTTGATACAGTGCCACCAATGGTTTCCCAGAATAAGTGACTTTTGTGAACAACCTTCTGAGCTGTGGGAGTTCTACTAATTTATATCATAAATTGTGACATAAAATACAAGATTTCTAGGCAAGAAGAAAAATAGGCAATGTTTTGCTATGATTCAGGAAATAAATCTATGTGGTTGTGTTATCCTTACAGTAAGTTAAAGGAGAATGTTTTAGAAACTCTGTCTGGATGCTTTTCCAGGGTGATGAATCTTTCTCTCCCTCTTTCAACCGCCTCCTTAATTTGCATTTCAGACCTAAAGTATGTAGTGAAAATCTGGTCCAGATTGCTGAGGTTCATCTGAGGTTTGGACTAAAAACCCTGAGGAATTACTTATTTTTGATGAGCTCATACAGGGCACCAAAGACACTTAAAGGTTGGTGCAGGAATTGAGGGGAGCTGGCACAGGCTCACCAAGCTGCTGGAATTCCAGACTGGGAATAAAACATGGAGCATGGCCAGGTCCTTCACTATCTCAGGCTCTGGTGGGAAATGTTTGCACAACTCCAACCCCAGGGCAACGTATTTTTGGGCTGAATGAAACCCTTGTGGAAGGTGGTGGAGCTGAACTCTTCCCAAGGTTTCTCTCTAGTTAAATTATGTCCTATTAAAACTGTTTCTAATGAGGATTCTCTTTCTTCTCCTCTTGGCTGGACTTTCTGAAGGAAATGGGAGCTATTAGAAAAGCATTTTATTTATCTGCAATTAAGGAGCCAACTGCAGCCTTTGGGAAGTTTCCACGGAAGGCAGGAGCAAAGTTCTGCAGGAGGGAGCTGGAGAAAAATGTGCTCCCATACACAGGCCTGGCTCTGGTTTTGGAGGAATTCCCCAGATCTGACCTGGGAAATCATGAATGCACCATGGAAATACTCACTTTGTAGCCTCTCACTTCTGACTCGTTGTCCAAGGCTTTCACCTGGTCCCAGTTCAGGATGATCTTGGAGTCGGATGAATTCCACACGATGTTCCCGGGGGGCTGACTCGGTGCTACACCAAAAAACAGACAGCACCATGTTACTGAGGAGAATCAATTCCCAGCTGGATCCCTTCCAGTGCCACTGGGGCTTCCAGCAGCACAGCTGAGCCTGCCCAGAGCCCTGTCCCTCTGGAAAGGCAGCGAGCTGCTCCACTGATCTGTGTCCTCAAGGTCATGGGAGGTGTGACACTACACGGGGCTTTAAATGAAAAAGGGATTCAGTCAGTTGCTCAACATGCCTGAGACCAGAGGAAAAAAGCCCTCTTGAACACCGAGATAAATATTTAATTTGCCTGCACAGCTGTGATTTCAGTTTTGCATGCTCTGCTTACTTAACACCGGGAAGAACCTCACGAATAAAATGAAATAAAAAGGCTGAGCCTGGTAAATCTGCACAGAAACCTGGCAAGGAGAAGTCTGACAGCTCCCTGAGACTCAAGAGAGCAGGGAAATGGGACAGGGGAGCAGTGGCTGGACCTGCCAGGGCATCCCTGCCAACACTCACGTGGCTTTTTGGTGGTGACATTGACAGCAGCGCTGGAGGGGCCGGTGCCAGCCGTGTTGTAGGCCCTGACTGCCAGGTGGTAGAGGGCATTGCCCCTCAGGTTGCTGACTTTTGTGGATGTTTGGTTCCCAACCGTCCGGATCCTTTTGGCGTTTTCCTCCTTCTCGTCGTGCCGCCAGCAGCGCACCTGGGAGGCAGAGCAGGGCTTTGGGGCTGGCAGCACCCCCTTGTTCCTGTCACCACCCCAGATCTGCTCCCAGGGGCAGCTCCTGCTCCCTGCCACCATCCCTGACCCTGCTGGGGACCAGCCCAGCAGCAGCTCTCCCTCCCCAAGCCTGGCCATGGCAGCACCTTCAGGGAGGGCTGTGCTTCCAGACAGATCCCAAACAGAAAGGTGGAATTTTTAACCTTGGCAGAGAATAGTGGAGTTTTTAACCATATGAGAGAATGGTGGAATTTTAACCTTGGGAGAGAATAGTGGAGTTTTTAACCATATGAGAGAATGGTGGAATTTTTAACCTTGGCAGAGAATAGTGGAGTTTTTAACCATATGAGAGAATGGTGGAATTTTAACCTTGGGAGAGAATAGTGGAGTTTTTAACCATATGAGAGAATGGTGGAATTTTTAACCATGTGAGAGAATGGTGGAGTTTTTAACCATGTGAGAGAGTGGTGGAATTTTAACCTTGAGAGAGAATAGTGGAGTTTTTAACCTTGTGAGAGAATAGTGGAATTTTTAACCATGTGAGAGAATGGTGGAATTTTTAACCATGTGAGAAAAATCTCTGTGCACTAAAGAGACAAAGAGAAGCAAATCCACTTCAGGAACACACCCATGGTAGGAGGACCAGCGTGAGGACATCGCTGTGTCCCCTCAAGGCTGTCTGCTGAAAGGATCCTGCAGTGTTTCCCATACCTCATATCCCTGTATTCTTCCTTTGTGCTGGTTCTCCCACGGGGGAGCCCAGGAAACTTCGACGTCTGAGGCTGAAATGCTTCTGGCCAAAACAGTGGTTGGGGCTCTTGTTGGCTCTGGGCAGTTAAAAATAGAAGTGAAACGTTTCAATTTGATGTTCAATTAGTCCCAAACATCAGGGGATTTATTTTCCTCATTGCACAGGGAAAGAAGCAAACAAATGTCCACATTTCAAACTGATGGCCTGTCAGGCTGTGCTGGGCCTCTCCCTCAGAAATAATAAGATGTCATTACTAAACTCAACCCAGGATACCATGTACTGTAATTAGGACAAGTGGGAACATTTTCTAATCAGTGGACATTAATTCATACTAAATCTCCACAGAATTCTTCCCAGATTACATATTACTTTTCCATTAATATAAAAAGATTTCATTATGATTAATGTTATTTTAATGACTATTGAAAAGAATTAATCACGGTTCGCCATTTATTATAAATCAGAGCAAGGCTGAGGTATCAAAGGATGTGTCAAGGTGGAAACAAAACCCTTTCAGACCCTGTTACATGCAAGTAAAGATATTATTAAAGAAAGGCCTTATAAAATTGTGGCCTAGCCCTGCTACTTCAGCTGGGTGCAGTTACCCTGCTAGTTTCCATAAGAAATAATTAAAGGAATGAGAAGCAGTTAATGGAACCTGTTTTAGTAAGAACTGTTTTCGCCTGCATAAACAAGAAACCTGTCTCATGAGAATCAGTGGAAAAAATATGTAAACTAACCAAAAATAAAGAAGTTTGATAGATATGCAAAATACCATTTACCAATCTGTATTGTCAGCCAATTGTTAGGTCTAACACAGTGCCTTCTGATAATACCATAAAAATATGAACTGTGCAATAAAGATTTGGCTTTCCTGCATGAAGAAGTTGAGTCCTGTCTGCTTTACTAAAACAAGACCCTGCAGCATGGGTGTGAGAAATGGATTTGTAAGGAATTTTTAAAACCACATAGAAAGTTTACACAGTCTTGTACATTTGTATGCAAACACTGAGACAAGGTGTGCTGACTTGGGAAGATCTTAGAATAGAGGTAGCATTGTTGGGAGAGAGATTAAACTAAAAACAAGTTTCAACAAGTTTCAAAATATGGCCTTGCAGAAAGACCACATGTTTTAGAGAATTAGAACTGTTTTAGAGAATTAGAACTGTTTTAGAGAATTAGAACTGTGAAAGAGAATTAGAACTATGAAAGAGAATTAGAACTGTTTTAGAGAATTAGAACTGTGAAAGAGCTAGCAAGACCACGTGGAATAAAAATATAGGCGATTAGTATTAGAAGTAATAGCAGCATTCTGTGGCAAAAGCCGATAGGCTGAAAAACATTTATAAAGTATTGTAGCCAAGAAACAGGTTAGCTTTTAATAGAATAGCATTAAATTTTACATCTCTTACGTCTCACCCTTCATCAAGACTGATAATAAAAGAAAATCTTTGAAAACACCTCTCAATTCCCCGTCTCTGTAAAAACTAAGAAAACCAACAACGGGGGGAGGGAGAGGAGATGGGGAGGGTCACCTCTACCTTCCTCTGCCGAGTAGACGACGGTGACGGGGCTGAAGGAGCCTTCCCCCTTGTTGTTGTAGACGCCCACCTTGACCTCGTAGGGCGAGAAGGGCGGCAGGCTCTCGTTGCGGAACACGTAGCGCGCGGCGTCCGGCGAGGCCACCACTGTCTGCATCCAGCTGACCGTGCCCAGGGGCCGGAAGGCCACCACGTAGCCAAAGCCACCCCCGTTCTGCAGCTCCTCAGGCACCGTCTGCAGGCAGGGACAAACGGCGCCATCAGCGCACGCGGACCTCCCCGGTTGTGCCCTGGGGGTTCCTCTTGGTCCTCTTCGCTCCTCGGGTGGACTTGGTGATCTCAGAGGTCTTTGCCAAACTAGTTAATTCTGGCATTCTGGGGTTCTGGGATTTTGTGATTGTGAGATTCTGGGATTGTATGCTTGTCTGATTCTGGGATTGTGTGATTGTGGGATTCTGGGATTGTATGCTTGTCTGATTCTGGGATTGTGTGATTGTGGGATTCTGGGATTGTATGATTGTCTGATTCTGGGATTGTGTGATTGTGGGATTCTGGGATTGCGTGATTCTAGGATTCTGGAATTGTATGATTGTGTGATTCTGGGATTCTGTAATTCTGGGATTCTGGGATTCTGAGATTTGGTAATTCTGGGATTCTGGGATTCTGTGCACAGCACTGGAGATGGAGGTGCAGGAGGTCCTGCCGCACATCCAACCTGAATTCATCCCATCCTGCCTGCACCAGAGCCTTTCTGCTCCATGAAACAGGAAGCAGCACCTCCAGAAGACACTTCTCCTAGGTCTTATTTCCCTTCCCTCCCTGCCTAGATGGGGCCTCCTTTGCTGATGCAATTTTAGGCTTTGTGAAGAGCCTGAGGTTTGCTGGGGTGAAGCAAGGACACAGTTCCTGCTTTCCCAACACACGTCAGCTGCTCTCACACATTTGGGATCACACTTGAAGCCCCAAAGAACACACCCTGGGCACACTGACACTTCCTACTCTGAGGCTTGCAGCCCCCTAAAAAGCTGCACTAAACCCAAAGGTTCCAGTATTAAAGTAATCCATAATTATGGGGCATCCTCCTGAGATGTCCATGGAGCTTCAGCACGGGTTACTGCTGCTGACTGCATCCTACTCTGTTTTGGAAGGCTCACATAAAGAAAAGGCCTCTGGACATTTAAAACAGTAAAACCACTCTTCTATCAAAACACAAATGATATTTTGTGCAAATGGCATCTCGAACCAATGGCTGATGTTCTGCCCATGTGTGTTTTTGAAACATATTGCAGTATCTTTAGGAGACACGGCGTAACTAATTAGTCCAACAGAGGAGGAAATTTAGCACATTGAGCTGTGTGCTGAGGACAAAAACCCATTTATAGGTTTTTAATGACCTCAAAAATATCTCTGGCGATTCATTCTGCCAGCTTGGTCAGAAATAGTGCTAAATGGAAGCGTTAGCATGTCTAGTGGAGTTCATTATTAGGAGAAATATGCCAGCTGCATCGTATCACAACACGAAAATATGAGCAGACAAATGACTAAAGTTCTAACCCTGTCTGCCTTAAGGAATATTAAACATTTCTCATCTCTGCATCTCCTCTCGCTGGCTGCCATCAGCAGCAATGAAAGCCAGCATGCCTTGTGCTGGCTCTGAGCTGTTTGCTGCCTCGTACCCCAGACAGGAGGAGGGAGGAAGCTGGGAGCCAGCACAGCAATTCCCCACCAGGTCAGGATGTTCCAAGCCTGTTTTATCCCTCGGGTGGCTCCCGGCCATCCACATTTTGCCATGTGGATGTGCTGGGAGTCAGGGGGGCTGAGCTGCTGGCAAATCCTGCTCCCCATGGTCCCTGCTTCCCACTTCCCTGGGGCTGGGGTGGGTCCATCCTTTGGCTCCATCTGACCAGCTGGGCTGTTTTTATCACACAATCTGGGCTTTTTTACTGCCAAACCCTTTGAAATGCACAGAAGGCTCACTGGGGCTGGAGTGAGACTCACCTCCCAGGTAATGACCAGCTCAGACTTGCTGCCTCCACCTCCACTGACATTAGCTGGGGTCACCTCAGGGACTGCAAAAAGATAAATGCAGAAGATGGATGTGATAGCTTTGAGACCCAAAACCCACATGGAGATGGAACAGAGCTGGACAGTGCTGGCCTTCCCCTGCTGGGGCCAGCAACTGTTAAAATGACTAATTTGCCATGGCAAACAGCATATTAAAATATGTCAATAATAGTATATTAAAAGTACGTCAATTAACTCGCGTATTCAGTCTCTAATTGTTCAGTTTAAACATTTCTCCTCCATTCAAAAAGGTCTTTTATTTATTTTTCTGCTTCACATTTGGTGGAACAGAGGAGCCACCTCCCAGAGCTTCCCCACAGCTGAGGGATCTCTTGGCATTTATTCCACAGAGATTTCCCCCTCTGCCCAGCGCCACTTACGAGCCTCCTCAGTTCTCCTCTTCTCAGAAGGGCTGCTGGGCTCCCCGATGCCGATCAGGTTGGCAGCCACCACCCTGAACTCATACTCCACCCACGGGTTCAGCCCCACCACGGTGGCCGTGAACGTCCTGCCGTCGATGATCTCTGGAACTGGGATGCAAGGAGACCAGCGGGGTGTTAAAATACTGCTGGGAGAAAGGCACGGGGAAATCTCATCTCCTTAAAGGTCAGGGCTTAACCTAAGTACCGAGAAGGACTGATAAATTTTCTCATCTTTCTAACATTTTGCCAGCTGCAAAGAAGTGAAAGAAGCATAATGAAACCCTTCTGCTTTTATTTAGCCCAGAAAATCCTGCCATTAAAGAGTTTCTCCAAAATTGTCGCAGTTTGGAAACAAAGTGCAGGACAACAGGTTTGGAGGGTCTTTATTTTTTTCTTTTTCAAACACACTGTTGTCTCTGTTTCATGGTTACTGGAACAAAATTAACCTCTGATGGAATGAGCAATTATATCATGGGATTTTTCCCTCTATCAGGAAAATAATTCTCCTTAAAGACAAGCTGGATGACACGGCCTGTCCCTGAGGGATGTCTTTATAGACCACAATTACTGTTGTATATCTCCAGCAAGGCAACAAGAGATAGGAATTCATTCTGTTTTCCCTTAAACATTCATGAGAAAAATGGGTGAGTAATGGCACTGACTGCACCCTAAATCTTTGGGTTGCCAAACCTGAAACTTGTTAATAAGAGCAGTGCTCTGCAGCCAGGGAAATTGCTTTCCACATCAGGGGCCAGAGCTGGCCAAAGCAGCCCTGGGTGGGTGCTGAGGTGTTACATCTAGGTAAAAATCTTCCAAAAAAAGGCCTTGTAAAATCAGGCCTTATTACTTTGGCTGAGCTAATAGCTAGCCTGATAAGTTCATGTGAGAAACCTGTCAGCTTTCATAAGAATAGAATCCTCTAACAGTGAAAATCTGCTTGTTCCCTTATGAAAAAAAATTATAAAAATGAAGATCAGTTTACGTGACAATCTATTCTTATAAAAGAAAAGAAACAATAGAAATAGAGAGAAACAATAGAGATAGAAACAAAAAAATAGGAAAAAATTGAAATAAACAATCTATTCTTAAGAAATTTACACCTATAAAAATTAAAAGTGAGAATCTGTGAAACAAAAACACCAAAAAAATATAAACTATCTAAAAGGAGAAAACTTTGATTAACATGTACCCTAACCATTACCAAGCAATAAACTGAATTTTGAGAGGCTATTAGCCAGTCAGATTCCAACACAACACCTCCATTCCTATAGATAGGAATGAAAGGAATAAAAATTCAGCTGTCCTACACCGAGAAGCAGCGTGCTGTCCCTCTGTGCAGTGCCACCCAGGGTGGCTTTGCCCCTGGAGCCCCCTTACCTGTGCTCACAGCCTGCCAGCCCACCGAGAAGGGCGTGCGAGCCTGCACCACGTACATGGTGATGGGGCTGTGGTTGTCTGCCCCCGGCCTCCAGGACAGCTGGGCCGTGCTCTCCGTCACCTCCTCGATGGTCACGGCCTCAGGGGGGCCCGGGGGACCTGTGGGGTGGCAGGAGAACCCGAGTGACTGGAGGAGGTTCAAGGTCCTGGGCAAGGAGGGGACAGAGCAGCCGGGGCAGCCACAGCTCTGCTGGCCTGGCGGGGATGGGAGGCACTGGGGATGCACTGGGGGGACAGAGCAGGATGTTGTGGGTCTGATTCAGTCAAAGAGAAAATGTTAAGTTTCTAACCAGGAGAAACTGTTGAGAATAATGTAAATAAGGTTCTTTATCTCTCTTGTTGTTCACACTGTTTATAGTTGGGTTTTGCTACCGTGCGTCATTCACTGCACACCAATAGTGTGTGGTGTTTTCACTACAGGACCATTAGAGTTGGCCTGCACGAAGCTCTGTATAAAAGAGCAATTTTGAAATAAATCAGAGTTTTATTTACAGCCTTCTCAACAGAGCCATTTCATTCCCATCCTGCCTCAGCAGAGTCAGGGTGTTTGAAACCCTGCAGCTCTGCTGGCCTGGCGGGGATGGGAGGCACTGGGGGATGCACTGGGGGGACAGAGCAGGATATTGGGGTGTTTGGAACCCTGCAGCTCTGCAGGGAGCACCAGGCAGGTCAGACCCCTCTGCTCCATCCCATGGCTGTGCTGCCTGAGTGGTGCCTGAGGCTCAGTCTGCTCCCATCTCTGGGAGTCACAGAAGGGATTGGGGTGGAAGGGACCTTAAATCCCATTCTGTCGCACCCCTGCCATGGCAGGGACACCTCCCACTGTCCCAGGTTATTCCAAGCCCTGTCCAGCCTGGCCTTGGGCACTGCCAGGGATCCAGGGGCAGCCCCAGCTGCTCTGGGCACCCTGTGCCAGTGTTTTAACACCCCTGGTGTTTTTAGGGAGTGACAGGATCAGTACTTCTATCACCATCAAGGGTCATTTCCCTGTGAGAATTTCATGTTCCTCCTGATTATGAGAACCAAGGGTAGCAGGGACAGAGCAGCACCCAAGTTTGCCTTCCCCAAAGTTAACAAGCAGGAAAATATAAATCATAATTCTTATAAGGACACAGACTCAGGGTAATTCATTACAGCTCTGTTAAAGTCAAACTTACACATCACCTGTGCGTGGTAATGAAGAGATCTCAATATATCAGTGAAGCCACTAAATCATGTTTATTCTAAAAAAGAATAACGTTGCTTGGCAGAAATGCTGCCAATAGCTGGGTGCTGCTCCTGCTGCACAGGTCATGGCACAAAGGAGCTCAGGGGGTTCATTCAGGACACGGACAGGTTCCAGGGCTGTGTCTGTGCACCCCAGAGTGCACTCAGAGCTTTTTTCTCAGATTAATTACAAGATTCTGGGCTGTCTCTGAGCCCAGGGATTGCAGAAGGCAGGGAAAAAAAAAAAAAAAAAAAAAGAAATTCTACAACATCACCAACAACAGTAGCAAAATTCAAATACCTCTTACAATCAGGTCTGCAGCAGCTGAGAGCTTGTCCACACTTGTTTGCACCATGCAGACGTATTTCCCTGCATGCTTCAGCTGGATGCTCCTGATCATCAAATCACCAGCTGAATCCTGCTGATAGAGTAGGGAAAAGTGGTTACAATTACTTTTTAATGAGCCCTAAACATCATTATCACGTGAAGGACACTGTGACTAATGGATTTACTTTATGCTGGCTGATGAAAACATCAGCAATACAAGCCATGGCCTGTTGAAATGAAGGGAGTTTGCCTGGAAGGTAAGAGGGAACATTCCTAAAATTCTGGTTCCTCCAAGGACCGAGTTGGGGGCTGTTAAGCATTTCTCCATTAAAACAGCATGGTAATGCAGGACAGGTTCACTCTGATTGCTCCTTTTTCTCTCTGGATATCCAAGTTTTACCCTCTCTGCCATCCATAGGCCCAGGTTGTGTCTCCATCTCTCCTGCAAGGGAAGCCCAGCCCAAATTTGGAGATACCAGCAGTAGTTTCAGGGCTTTTGTGCTAAAGATCACGAGAACAGCACTCTCTGAGGAAATCTTGCATCACACAGCAGCAGTAATTTGTTTTCCAAACGCCAATTGCATGTCTGATTAACTGTTGAATAGAACTAATTAGGTTTCTGGATGCATTGGATGCAGAGAACCTCTCTCAATTTCTCTCCAGACACAAAGCATTCAATACATTGGAAATCTCAGGGAAACCTCATGGTTGTGGCCTTTGGACTGAGGAATATTAATGAAGTTTGTAATTTTAGCTCAGTGGGCCAAACCAGGAGCAGTCACCCCAAAAAGCCATGGCTGCTGCTGTGAGCCCTGTGCATCAATCTGTGAGTTCATCTTTTAATAATTTTTTTTTAAAGGGATGAGAGCAAGGCTTGGAAATTGTATTTCCTTTTCCTTTCAGCATTAAATTTCACTCCTGACAAATGTCACCAAGAACTGTCACCATGCCTGAGACTTGTTGCTCTCTAAATCCTCACTCAGAGCAACATGCAAAACCCTTCCCAGTTTTCTACCTCTGCTGAAAATTTTCCATTTCTTTCCTCCTTCTTCTTGCTGCCTTCATCCAGTTCCTTCTGTTGGCAGCCTTTTCTTTGTCAGATTTAATACTTACCCCTCCAACCCTTTCAAAGTGATCCCCATCTTTCTCAAAGTCGATCAGGTGCCCGTTGAATGACCAGGTGAACACGATGTCCAGGGAGTGGTCGTGGGACACCTGACAAGGCAGGACAATGCTTTCTCCAACTGTGACATCCATGCTGAAAGGGGACACCATGACCCGGGTTGGATCTACAAACAACAAAGAAACGGGGAAAAAAAAAAAAGAAAAAAAAAGATTTTTCTTTCTCTCCTGAGGAGCAGAGACATTGTAGGGCTGAGAGAGATCCCAAACAGTGATCCCTTAGGGAGGTCCTTAAATCAACAAGTGAATTATTCCATCGTTGGGTTTATCCTTTCTCTAGTTGCTGGATTAAAACACTTAATAAACCCTCCAGAATCCCCTTCCAGTCACCATCCTGATGAAGAAGGAGAAAAGAAAAAGCTGGAAAAGAGTGCAGCAGATCTGAAAGGCTTGATTAAAACTTTTTATCAGAGATTCTCTTATTTGAATGTTCTCACTTCAAAGAGCTGTTTCGCACATACATTGCTCACCATGGTTAAACTGTTCTGTTGTTCCTAAATTAAATGTAAAACCTCCAAAACTGGAATAAAAAGGATGTATTAGAACCAGGATTTTTTAATCTGGCCATACCTGGAAAGGCAAAGATCAGGCTGAGATTATTGTTATTATATTTACTGAGAACTGGCCACGCTCTCTGATGGATGGATGTCGTACTACGACACGAAATAACTCATGCATTCTAAAATCTAGAAGAAGAAAAAGAAGCAACTTTTATTTCTGAACTTGCAATATATAGAATTTTAAAAGTGACAGTGGATTGAAGGATGAAATTTCCACCTCTCCAACCACACTGGTTAAACCAACAGCCCATCAATTCTCTCTCCTTACAAAGAAGAATGCAAAACAATCATTATTTACATGAACAGGTGTGAGAACTCCAGTAGAAACATGTAAACACCAGAAAGCATAGAAAACTTTAAAATAACTTTAAAACTTTTAAAAGAACAGGGTGACAGATGCTTCACATCTCAAACCCTTTCCTTGGGCAAGGAGAGCCCCACACAAAACACAAAAAAATGATGAGTGGTGCCAACAGAACCTGGCACAGCACGGAACCCAAAAACCCAAACCCTCTGTGAGGAGCAGAAGAGGGTGCCCTAACCTATTTCTCCTTATCTGCATAAACCATTTCCTGCACAAGATTTTAAGATGTGTTTTTCTTGTAGATGAACTCTAACTCGAGCATCTGGGACACATTTTTCCTTTTTTTTTTTTTTTTTTTGAATACCAGGACATTTCCAAAGGGAAGCCCCAAACCTGGATCTGTGGCATGGCAGGATCCCTGTCAAACACAGGCAGCAGCTCCACCCTGATTCAGAACTAATCCCCTTCTCTGGAGCTCCACAGCTCCTTCCCCACTGCTTTAATTGTCTATTTTTCACCTCAGTGTGAGCAGAGTGGTGGCACAGAAAGATGAGCCACGACACATTATGCAGACTCCAGCTCCTCTGTGCCTGTGAGTTCCCTCTGCCTCTAAAGTTAACATTTCTCTTCCATTTCTGTTGACAAAAATGCAGCAATTTTTTCTACAGAGCCTCAGAGGAAATGAAAAGGAGAAAAAAATATTGCTTAACAATGAGACCAAAAGTCTGAAAATCATACAGAGATAGATATTTTTGCTTATTCCAAAAAATCTATTCTGCACGGCTGTCCTGCTAAAATAATATCAGCATTATTCAATCTCTGGTACATGACACCAAAATCTTAACAACTTCTTCCTGAGCCTATTGCCCAGCTGCTTAATTCTCTGCTAAAATAATAAAGATACAGCAGCCCAGATATGGACTGGGCAGAACTCACGGAAATCCAGGGGATGCAAAGCTGTTCCTGGGTTTTCAGCCTTATCAAAATCTACAGGAGGTGGTGAGAAAGATTTTGTTGCTGTCTGTAGAGATTTCAGATCAGGTCCTCAGGGACTTGGCTGTATTATCTTCAACCAATTTAATTCATCTGTATTTTGTGTTCAATTCTGACCAAGCAGAGGAACTCTTAGAATAACTGTTATGACACTTAATCAATCAATTAATTAATAAATTAACAATTTCTCAGGTGTTTATAAACATGAAAGGAATGAAGAATATAAAGACTATAAATATATAGAATAGAAGATATAATTGTACAGAATTTTAGAATATAGGAGAGATTCTAGAATGTAGAATTCTGGTATGTAATTTGTATTCCAGAATTCTATACAGTTACATTTCTAGAATTGTAATTGTATAGAATTGTATCTAACAGATATATGTTAAATAATCTTTATGGAATATTTATATTCTATAATATAGATAGAATATTATAGGTTTACATAAACACAGAGAGTGTTAAATATAATAGAATTCTGGGATTTCTATAATCCTAGAATTAATATACTCGGTCTGTAGGTGTCACTGAAGGCTCGGGAACAGCAGAGCTCCTTCCCTGCCTGCCTTCCACACAAGATGCTCTCTGTGGGACAGAGGCAGCGCTTCCCAATTTTCCCTGGTTTTTCCAGAGGCTGGAGCAGCCCGAGAGCTCCTAGGGACGGTCCCAGCTGGAGCAAAGCACAGCAGCAAATTCCTGTTTGATTAACCAGCTAATTACCTAATTCTCTCAGATTAGTGTTACAGTGTTAAAGATCCAGATAGATTTCTCCTTATCTCCATAAAGCATTTCCTGTACAAGATTTTATGTTGTGTTTTTCTTGTAGATGAACTCTAACTCGAGCATCTGGGACTCATTTTTCCTTTTTTTTTTTGTTTTGGAATACCACCATGCGTACCAATTCCATTTTGGCTTTTATCAGCAGGAGTTAATAAATGCATCTCAGATCAATGTCCTCTATTTGCAATGACATTTTGCATTATTGTATTGATTCCAAGGCAAATCATGTCTGGAGATAATAAAAATCAATCCTGGAGGAGGTGGTTTCTATGAGCAACCAAAGAATCAAAGTCCAATGCATGAAAATACATAAATGTGCTCTCTTTTTTTCCTTTCTGTTTGTGAATGAAATATTTATCCAGGACCATAAAGTCAAATGCCTCTGAGACCTGACTGGTGAAACTTTTGGGAGTTTTGAGTGCTCTGTCATCAGAGAGAGGAAAGAAGAAAAGAGTGCAGGAGAGAGGAAAATACAACTCTGAATTAAAGAGATTAAAACCCAGTGAATGGCTGAACACATAGAGGAATTAGCAGAGCAAATTACGGCTGAATGGACTGAGTACTTCATGGGGCATGGCCAAAATTGAGATGAAAAAGAATTGGGGAAAAGGTTAAGTATTTACAGTATCTGGCCATTAAAATACCCCACCTGTGAGCTGTGATGAGTCACACGGATGCTTTCAGGAGCAGGCACTTGGCTTTTATGCCAATTGATCCCTTTTTTCCCTGCAATCAGCTATTACACACATTCTTAACAGAAGATTCTGCAGCATTTCCACCCTCTGGTGGGTACTATGGCAGTTCAGCCTAATAAAATATAATCCTATTAAAAGGAGACTCTATCAGTATTGAAAAGGGACTTTAGGCCTGGGACTAAAGTCACTTAGCTCTGATTTCAGAAATGTTTGTGATTAGTGATTAGAGCTTTCCGTGCCATCAGGCAGTGATGTCTGCAGCGAGCCATGGCCTGTACCCAGCAGGGATCAGGGCAGGCAGGGATGGAGCATCTGACCTTTCCTGGCAGAGCACGGGCTCCATTCAGCAGCACCCTTGGCTCAGCTGGGCCTTTAGGACATGCCAAAATTGCTTTGCTGAAGGAGGATCCTTATCTTGCCCCACAGCAGTGTGGGGACATGGGGCTGCTTTCAGCTGGGAGCCTGAGCCCCTTTGTCAGGAGTTTTCTGTGAGGATGGGCAAGGATGTAAGAGGAGACTTTGGCTGGTGCTCCCTGTGATCTGTCCCTTCCAAGAGCAGCAGTTTCCTCCTCAGCACCACTGGAGAACTTCCCACAGAAGGAAAACTCTCCAAGGCTGGTGGCAGAGTCTCCCTGGCAGGATTGAGTGTGCCCAGAAGGGAGGGGCACTCAGTCAGGGGATGGCATTCTGCACAGCCCAATCTGCATTTTTGCGTGGCTGAATAATAAATGAAGGTTTATTTAAATCTGAAAGCACATTAAGAATGGAACTGCACAGAGGGATGCTGGAGAAGGGTGTGCCATTAGAGCAAATTCAAAGACAAAACATCTGAAAATACATCCACTCCAGTGAGAGTGCAGGGAGAGCACCCAATATTCCACTTTACCCTCCATTTTACCCACTGCAATGCAATCTGATCAAATCAAGCTCTCTCCATACAATTGTCACCAAGTAAATCACATGTAATGGGCTCTGGAGATGACAATCAAATCCTTCACTCAGGGAAATTTGTTCTTGCTCTTTGCAGCAGGATGCAACAGAGCCTGATTACAGCAGGAACTTCAAACATCCTTCTCCAGCTCTGCAGACTAAAATAAAACCCACTTCACTCCAGAGCTGCCTCAAGTGAGATCTCTGTCTCTGACAAACGATCCAGGCGTTGGTGACAATCTTTGTGGGTAACCTGGGGAATTCAGGGTGTCACCTTTTGTGGGCTATCGATTGTGACGAGCTGATATCCGTCTTTTCAAGTATGGAATAATCTACTGTCATTGCAGAACTGATGGCCACCTCGCAGAGAAGGTTAATCAGATACAGCAGAAATCATATCTAATCTGAGATAAATTGCAAGTCGCTCAGGGATCAGTCACTGCTCTCCTTGAACCAGGGGAGTTGTGCAGATGTAATTCCACAGTGCCCATGGACACAGTGCCCACCAGCGTTGTGCCCCCTGGAACAGCTCACCCTCTGGAGCTGGTTCGTTTATGGTGTTTTTACAGGTTTTTAATAGCGATGATCATAAATCAAACACTTCAGGAGGCAGCAGAGCAGCTGAAATACAACATCCAGGCACTCAAACTGCAAAATTACAGAGTGACTGCCACGGTCTTTGCATTTTTAAGGCATAAGTGTGTGGTTTAGGCCTTTCCCACATGAATTCTCTGCCTCTTACCCACCCTCCTCATCAGCACCAAGATATTTGGAATTAGCTGTTGTGCCAGAATAAATCCCAAATTAAGAGTCATTAGGAGCAGATGCCTCTTGAGATGTCA